TCCTAGATTGTAAGCTCCAAGGAGCAGGGTCCTCCTATCCCTCTTGTATTGAACTGTATTGTTGCTGTATTGTCTCCCTTTATATTGTAAAGCGCTGAGCAAACTGTTGGCGCTATATAAATCCTGTATTATAATAATAATAATAATAAAAGCAGCTTCAGCCTAGGACTGTCCAAGCTACGCCCCTGACGTGTTTTGCCCCCCAGTCACATTTACCAGACCATTCCTTTCCTGAATGAACACAATGCGTGATTGACACCAATCAATAACTGTGTTCATTCATAACTAAAGCATAGTAAACTGTGTTTTCTTGTGGGAATGGGGGGGGAGGGGCTTGTCAGGTTGGCTGTATAGGGCCCGTGGTTTGGGGGGCCCTGTCAGGTTGGCTGTATGGTTTCTAACAGCAACCCTGCCTCCAGGACTAAGCCTCAGGATAGGACAAAATTTGTCGGGGCGTGGCTTGGACGAAGCTAGGCTGAGGCTGCTTTTACCAGTATGACCATCAGGTTCTTCCAGAGTGTGGCGATCGGGTCTTCCTCCTTTTAGCCACATTCATTTTGTTACTTTTGTACCAACTTGATGGGGCTATCATGTTCACACATGATCCTGAACGAATGACAATATTTTAATAGGAATGTTTGTTTTCTGATTATTTGTACTCCAGTTGCTATGGACTATTCACATGGTTACATTGGCCTATACCCATGTCTCCTCTATTGACTATATGTACGGATTCTATATGCTACAATGTTTGTACTTTGCTATATTGTTTCAATAAAATGTTCTACCTGTAAAAAAAAAAAAAAAAAAAGGTCCAAGGTGAGAGGTTGCAGCAGGGGCTGATCTGTGCCAGACATTTGTTAACAAAGGCAAATACTGTATAGGCATCAGGAGTGAAATGACTGTGACATCTTCAAGTTCTCTTCTGTATGCATGAAGTGACATCTGCTATGTAATTGCTGAGCAGCCTGGTCAGAGAACATGCCCTCCACCATCATCACTTTCTGGCCACACTGCTAGCAAGGAGACGAAAACATAACGAAAACATAACGAGGTACCAGGTGCAAACTGGAGATGATCACAACTATTCATCACAGTGGGGGGTCTACAGCCCTGGCCAAAAGTTTTGAAAATTACACAAATATTAATTGTCACAAAGTGTGCTGCTTCAGTGTTTTTAGATCTCTTTGTCAGATGTTACTATGGCATACTGAAGTATAATTACAAGCATTTCAGTGTCAAAGGCTTTTATAGACAATTATGCAAAGAGTCCATATTTGCAGTGTTGACCCTTCTTTTTCAGGACCTCTGCAATTTGCCTTGGCATGCTGTCAATCAACTTCTGGGCCACATCCTGATGATGGCAGCCCATTCTTGCATAATTAATGCTTGGAGTTTATCAGAAGTTGTGGGGTTTTTTTTGTTCACCCGCCTCTTAATGATTGACCTCAAGATCTCAATGGGATAAAGATCTGGGAAGTTTCCTGGCCATGGACCCAAAATGTAGATGTTTTGTTCCCCAAACCACTTAGTTATTACTTTTGCTTTATGGCAAGGTGTTCCATCATGCTGGAAAAGGCATTGTTCATAACCAAACTGTTCTTGGATGGTTGGGATAAATTGCTCTCGGGGGGATGTTTTTGTATCATTCTTCATTCATGGCTATGTTCTTAGGCAAAATTGTGAGTGAACCCATTCTCTTGGCTGAGAACCCCTCACATGAATGGTCTCAGGATGCTTTTCTGTTGGCAAGACACAGGTCTGATGGTAGCACTCACCTTTTCTTCTCCAGACAAGGTTTTTTCTGGATGCCTCAAACAATCGGAAGGGGGATTCATCAGAGAAAATGACTCAGCAGTCTAATTCCTGTAACTTTTGCAGAATATCAGTTTGTCCCTGATGTTTTTTTCCCTGGAGAGAAGTGGCTTTTTTGTTGCCCTTCTTGACACCAGGCCATCCTCCAAAAGTCTTTATGTCACTGTGCGTACAGATGCACTCACACCTGCTTACTGCCATTTCAGAGCAAGCTCTGCACTGGTGGTCAGGACCAGGACAAGCGATGGGGCGTCTGCCCTAGGCGCAATGATTTACCGTATGGATGGGGGTGTCTTCCTTCTGTTTCAAGGCTGACAGGAGTAGTGACAGAGGCAGCATTATTCCTGTCAGTCCAGCTCTGGGAGTGGTAAGGAGAGGTTGAGAGAGTCAGGAGGTGACTTCCTACAAGTAAAGCGCTCCTTAATTCAGTTTGCCATCTTTGCCCTGGGTGCTAGATGACCTTGTCCCAGCACTGCTGGTGGTGCCCCGATCTCACAGCTTAATCAACTTTAGGAGATGGTCCTGGAATTTGCTGGACTTTCTTGGGCGCTCTGACCCTTCTTCACAACAGTTGAGCCTCTCTCCTCCTTGAAATTCTTGATGATCCTAAAAATTGTTGATTTAGGTGCAATGTTAGTGGCAGCAATATCCTTGCCTCTCTCTTTTTGTGCAAAGCAATGATGACTGCACGTGGTTCCTTGCAGGTAAATTAATATTTGTGTCATTCTCATAACGTTTGGCCAGGGCTGTAGGTCATCACCAATCATTACGCATGCACCAACTGTTCATTCACAAAAGTAACATGTTAGGACTGTGCGAGCTAGCTGTCGGTGCAGTGTATGTTTACTATCAGCTGACAGATCTACAACACAGCCTCGCAGCTCTGACTGATCATTTTTTATTGAATTTGTGAATGAACAGTCAGAGCTGGTGGGGCTGTGTAAATATACAAGACACCAGCAGAGTCACACAGTGTCAGGGCTCCAGGGTGTGACCAGAGGTATGTGAACTGACGCAGGGAATCGCAGGCTTCAGATATGTTATAATAATATAATTTATTAACACTAACAATACATAAATGCAGTGCAATACTAAAACATAACACAGTGCAAACGAACCAAACCAAACACCCACAGATAACAATACATACGATGCAAGCGTCGTCAGGCAGGCCGGGTCAATAACAATCGGGCAGGTAGGAACAGGAGGAGCAGGCAGAGAGTAGTCAGGTCACAAGCCGGGTACAGCAACTAACGGGCAGGTAGGTACAGGGGGTCAGGCAGAGAATGGTCGGGGTCACAAGCCAGGGATCAAACAGGAGAAGTCAGAGAGGTCCGGATCAGGCAGGGTCAGCAACGAATCAGTCAGTCAGACAGGAACAGGAACAGGAACAGGAATGCAGGTAACAAGATACAGGGGCCCATAGGAAAACACACACCAAGGCCCAGACTGCAGGTCTGGCCATCCCTTAAATACACCTGCATAATCAGCTTCAGGTGTTTGGCTGACTACAGGGTTGAGTCTCTGATTGCTGAGAGCACCCGCTGGCCAGCCCTGGTACTGCAGCCCACAAGGCAGGTGAGTCCCACCATTACTGGCAAGTCCATTCCTGACAGTACCCCCCCTCAAGGAGCGGCCTCAGGACGCTCCAAACAGTCCTAGCTGGGCAAAATGTTCCACCGCCCGGGTCTGGTAACTGGCGGGATATCAAAGACTGGCACATCGGGCTGGACTCCGGGCAGCGGCACACCGGGCAGGACTCCGGGCAGCGGCACACCGGGCAGGACTCCGGGCAGCGGCACACCGGGCAGGACTCCGGGCAGCGGCACACCGGGCAGGACTCCGGGCAGCGGCACACCGGGCAGGACTCCGGGCAGAGGCACATCGAGCTGGACTCCGAGCAGAGGCACATCGAGCTGGACTCCGGGCAGAGGCACATCGAGCTGGACTCCGGGCAGAGGCACATCGAGCTGGACTCCGGGCAGAGGCACATCGAGCTGGACTCCGGGCAGAGGCACATCGAGCTGGACACCGGATCACCAGGCGGAGCAGCAGGCGCCAAGTTTCCCGGCGGAGCGGCAGGCACCAGGCCACCAGGCGGAGCGACAGGCATCGGGCCCCCAGGCGGGGCGGCGGGTGCCGGGCCCCAGGCGGAGCGGCGGACGCCGGGCCCCCAGGCGGGGCGACGGGCGCCGGGCCCCCAGGAGGGGCGGCGGGCGCCGGGCCCCCAGGAGGGGCGACAGGCATCGGGCCCCCAGGAGGGGCGACGGGCATCGGGCCCCCAGGAGGGGCGACGGGCCCCCAGGTGGAGCGGCGGGCGCCGGGCCCTCAGGCGGAGCGGCAGGGCACCGGGCCCCCAGGGGGCGGGCGCCGGGCCCCCAGGCGGAGCGGCGGGCGCCGGGCCCTCAGGCGGAGCGGCAGGCACCGGGCCCCCAGGAGGGGCCGGGCCCCCAGGCGGAGCGGCGGGCGCCGGGCCCCCAGGAGGGGCGCCGGGCCCCCAGGCGGAGCGGCAGGCACCGGGCCCCCAGGAGGAGCGACAAGCGCCGGGCCCCCAGGCGGAGCGGCGGGCGCCGGACCCCCAGGAGGGACGGCAGGCACCGGGCCCCAGGCGGAGCGGCGGGCACCGGGTCATCAGGCACGACAACGGGCATCGGGTCACCAGGCATCAGGTCATTTGGCTCGCCAGCGGGCACCGCATCATCTGGCAAGGCAGTGGGCACCGAGTCACCAGGCACGACAGTCGGTTCCGAGTCAACTGGCATGACCACGGCACTGGGTCAGACATTGGATCGTCTGGCTCGACAGCGGGCATCGGGTCACCAGGCATCAGGTCATTTGGATCGACAGCGGGCACCGGGTCATCTGGCGTTGGATCGGCTGGCTCGACAGCGGGCATCGGGTCACCAGGTATGACAGCGGGCACTGGGTCACCAGGCATCAGGTCATTTGGCTCGCCAGCGGGCACCACGTCTTCTGGCAAGGCAGTGGGCACCGAGTCACCAGGCACGACAGTGGGCTCCGAGTCAACTGGCATGACCGCGGGCACTGGGTCAGACATTGGATCGTCTGGCCCGACAGCAGGGCATCGGGTCACCAGGCATGACAGCGGGCACTGGGTCATCAGGCATGGGATTGTCTGGCTCAACAGCGGGCATCGGGTCACCAGGTATGACAGCGGGCACTGGGTCACCAGGCATCAGGTCATTTGGCTCGCCAGCGGGCACCGCGTCATCTGGCAAGGCAGTGGGCACCGAGTCACCAGGCACGACAGTGGGCTCCGAGTCAACTGGCATGACCGCGGGCACTGGGTCTGACATTGGATCGTCTGGCCCGACAGCGGGCATCGGGTCACCAGGCATGACAGCGGGCACTGGGTCATCAGGTACCGGATCGTCTGGATCGACAGCGGGCATCGAGTCAACTGGCCTAATGGAATCATCAGGCTGGATCAGTTCATCAGGCTGAATGGAGGCATCAGGCTGGGTAGAGGCCTCAGGCTGAATGGAGGCATCAGGCTGAATGGAGGCATCAGGCTGGGTAGAGGCATCAGGCTGGGTAGAGGCATCAGGCTGAATGGAGGCATCAGGCTGAATGGAGGTATCATCAGGCTGGGTAGAGGCATTAGGCTGGGTAGAGGCATCAGGCTGGGTAGAGGCATCAGGCTGGGTAGAGGCATCAGGCTGAATTGTGGGCGCCGAGGCACCAGGCTGAACCACGGAAGGCAGGTTCTCAGACGGCAGGCTCACCGTTTGGATACTGGCAGAATGGTACTGGTTGGAAAGAATTTTTGCTTTTTTCTGGTTTTAACTACTGGAGCACTGCAAGTAAACGCAGGTCTGCAAACGAATGGAGCAGCTGAGGACAGAGAAGAGCTAGAAGATGGAACAGAGGAGGGAGCAGTTGCTACAGAGGACTTCTTTACAGGGTTAAAGAAAGGATAGGTGCAGCGAGTGGGAGCAGAGGACTGGTATGTGGTAGTTAGAGTATACTGGGCAGTCACTGGGGGTGCTGTCGGGGATGCAGGAAGAGTGCCTTGAGTGGAGGAATGATGTTGTAAGCTGACTGAGGCTGGGTGCAAAAAGTCTGACCATGTCTGCAGTATGGGTTGAACAAAGCTGAGCTTACACAAAGCCTGTCTGGTCAAAGACTGCACTGCGTTTATACAATCTCTTAGTACCTGTGGTGAACATGCAGAATAACGCTCCAGAAAGTAATCCACATCATCCTCTAATAACCATACCAGGGACTCTACCTGGTCGGCACTAAATGGCGGCAAAAATACATCCCTGCATTCGGGGGGTACCAGATGAAACCAACTCAGCACAAACCTGAATCAATGGCTGCACCTCAGAGAATTCTGTGCCCTGATCTACTAGGCAATGAGCGATCCTTATGCACTCTAGCAATTGATCCCTGGGATACTCCTTCAGAGTCTGATAAGCATATTCTCTGTCATCAAACACTAGCAGAGATAAATACACAACCTCATCAAGATCCATCCTTCCCAGCAACAAGCCAAGATGGCTTCCCTGTGCAGCCACTTCTGGTCAGGATTGGCCTTGGTGTAATGTCAGGGCTCCGGGGTATGACCAGAGGTATGTGAACTGACGCAGGGAAATGCAGGCTTCAGATATGTGATAAACAATATAATTTATTAACACTAACAATACATAAACGCAGTGCAATACAAAACATAACACAGTGCAAACTATTATTATTATTATTACTACGAGTTTATATAGCGCCAAAGGGTTTGCAGCGCTGTACAATAGGGGGGGACTAAACAGTACAACAAAGACAGACAGCGTACGAGGGGTAAGAGGGCCCTATGTCTTTTGTTGTCCACCATGTCCGGGCAGGATTGCTGCAAAACTGGCATTCTTGCCCCAAACCAAAATATGCGGTGTTACCAGAACAAGATCCCTCCGTAAGGGAACCAAACCACCCACAGATAACAATACATACGATGCAAGCGTCGTCAGGCAGGCCGGGTCAATAACAATCGGGCAGGTAGGAACAGGAGGAGCAGGCAGAGAGTAGTCAGGTCACGAGCCGGGTACAGCAACTAACGGGCAGGTAGGTACAGGGGGTCAGGCAGAGAATGGTCGGGGTCACAAGCCAGGGATCAAACAGGAGAAGTCAGCAGAGGTCCGGATCAGGCAGGGTCAGCAACGAATCAGTCAGTCAGTCAGACAGGAACAGGAACAGGAATGCAGGTAACAAGATACAGGGGCCCATAGGAAAACACACACCAAGGCCCAGACTGCAGGTCTGGCCATCCCTTAAATACACCTGCATAATCAGCTTCAGGTGTTTGGCTGACTACAGGGTTGAGTCTCTGATTGCTGAGAGCACCCGCTGGCCAGCCCTGGTACTGCAGCCCACAAGGCAGGTGAGTCCCACCATTACTGGCAAGTCCATTCCTGACACACAGGCACAACAGTGCTGACTATTCATTCACAGTAGCAAACATCAGCCAGCTGCTAGTAAACATCCACTGCACTGGCAGATAAGCACACAGCCCTGCAGCTCTGATTGATCTTTTACTATTCTGAATGAACAGTCAGAGCTGGCAGGGCTGTGTAAACATACATGACACCGGCAGAGTCACACAGCCACAACAGTGCTGACTGTTCATTCACAATAGCAAACATCAGCCAGCTGCTAGTAAACATCCACTGCACTGGCAGATAAGCACACAGCCCTGCAGCTCTGATTGATCTTTTACTATTGTGAATGAACAGTCAGCGCTGATGGGGCTGTGTAAATATACATGACACCGGCAGAGTCGCACAGCCACAACAGTGCTGACTGTTCATTCACAATAGCAAACATCAGCCAGCTGCTAGTAAACATCCACTGCACTGGCAGATATGCACACAGTCCCACAGCCATGATTGATCTTTTACTATTGTGAATGAACAGTCAGAGCTGGTGGGGCTGTGTAAACATACATGACACCGGCAAAGTCACACAGCCACAACAGTGCTGACTGTTCGTTCACAATAGCAAACATCAGCCAGCGGATGGTAAACATCCACTGCACTGGCAGATATGCACACAGCCCTGCAGCTCTGATTGATCTTTAAGCAAACATCAGCCAGCTGCTAGTAAACATCCACTGCACTGGCAGATATGCACACAGTCCCACAGCTCTGATTGATCTTTTACTATTGTGAATGAACAGTCAGTGCTGATGGGGCTGTGTGATGTATCCGCCAGTGTTAGGTATGTTTACTGGCAGTCATCAAATCTATCGCATGGCCCACAGCACTGACTGTCCATTTATAATAGCAAAAGATCTGTCAGTTTAGAGAGGGGGCAGAGGCACATTGCTGGCTGTAACTCTCCCTTAGGAATGCCCATAACTTGAGCCTTAGCCAAAGGTAGAGGTAGAGTTGCACATAGAATCAGTTTAATTTTAAACCACTGCACTTATCTTAATAGGACCAATTATTATGGGTATTGCCCCCCTTGGGGATTCTACAAAGATTTTCACTCTCTTGGTGATAACTCTCATTTAAAGCGGAGCTCCACCCAAAATGGGAAGTTCTGCTTTAAGCCTTTGTCCCCCGCTCCCCATTAAGGATTGGCACCTTTGGGGAGCGGGTACCTGAATTTGACAGGTACCTGCCCCCACTTCCACTGCGATCGCCTAAGTGATTGGAAGAAAAAGTTGTCCTCCCCCCTCTCTCCCTGTAGTCTTCTGGGACACATGACAGGTCCCAGAAGACTACAGGACCATTCACAAAGCACAGCACTTCTCGCAGATGCGCAGTGGGCACCCGGCTGTAAAAGCTGCAAGCTGTCACTGCCGGGTGCACACACACTGAAGATGCCAGCGCCAGGGAGAGAAGACGGCTGATGAAACCAGCGGTGGTGAGGACACCGCGGGATAGAGGGACAGGTAAGTGGCTGTATTTTAAAAGCCAGCAGCTACAGGTTTTGTAGCTGCTAACTTTTGATTTTTTTTCTTTTTAGGTGGAACTCTGCTTTAAATAGTAACATCACTTTTCTTGAGAAAAAAAATCCCCTCTGGCTGTTCCATTAACATTACAGGGATTTTAACAAACTTTTAGGCAGTTTCCTAACTTTGTTGCTTTGGCCATACATTATTATTATTATTATTATACAGTATTTATAAAGCGCCAACAGTTCGCTCAGCGCTGTACATTACAAAGGGGGACAGAACATGTGACAGAACAATACCAATACAATGCGATACATGAGGGGATCGAGGGCCCTGCTCTTTCGAGCTTACAATTTAGGAGGGAGGGGATGGTGGTACAGGAGGAGATAGCTGTGGGGGATGGAGTGGTAGGAAGAGTGGAGGAGGTCGGCAAGTTAGTAGGGGGTGGGGTAGGCTTCTCTAAAGAGGTGGGTTTTCAGGGTGCGCCTAAAAGAGAGGAGAGTAGGTGATAGACTGATGGGTTGGGGCAGGGAGTTCCAGAGGATGGGTGACACCCTGGAGAAGTCCTGGAGGCGGGCGTGGGAGGAGGAGACCAGGGAACTAGAGAGAAGGAGGTCTTGTGAGGAGCGGAGTGTGCGTGCTGGGCGGTACTTGGATATTAGGTCAGTGATGTAGTTTGGGGCAGTATGGTGGACGGCTTTGTACGTCAGTGTTAGGATTTTGAATTTGATCCGTTGCACATTATACAACCCTCATTAAGTATCTCACATTATACAATTTTCCTTTAGAATTACCAAAACTATATAATATGAGGTCATACCTAAACACTTTCAATGTGTATGCAATCAGGCAGGCCCTTGCACTACATAGTTGAAGGTAAATCTAAAAGAAATTGAATAACAAAATTGTAAAATGTATAGCCCGCTTTATTGTGAATGAGAGGGTTTGGTTCATTATCATGAACTGGTGCACTCTCAGTGTTCTAATGAAAAAAAACGCAGGGTTTGCATCCCTTTAGAAATATTTAACCCTCATTAAGTATCTCATCAAAACTGACATTTCTATTGCATAGCCAATTCTATGTGGCTTATGGATACACAGAGCAGGGCTCAGGAGCAAGCACGCATGAGTGCTCCTGTTGCAAGCAGCTTACTATGGGAGCACACAGTGGGGGTGGGAGTGGAGCGCAGAAGAGGATCAGGGCTGCTCTGTGCAAAACCATTACAGGAAGAAGATAAGCATAACAAGTTTGTTATAAGAAAAAAAAAAGCTTTACTATCACTTTAACCGCTTCAATACTGACGCTTCCTGCTTAGGCCAATTTTCAGTGTTAGCTCTGTCACACTTTGAATGCCAATTACTCACTAATGCAACACTATGCCCAAATGATATTTTTATCATTTGTTTTAGACAGATAGAGCCTTTTTGGTGGTATTTAATCACCCTTTGGTATATAAACAAAAAACAAACAATGAAAATTTTGAAAAAAAAAATGTTTGCTTGGTTTCTGTTATAATATTTTGCAAATAAATAATCTTTCTTCATAAATTTAGGCCAAAATATATTTTGATACATTTATTTGGTAAAAGTAACTCAAATCAGTGTATATTATTTACCATATTTTTCGCTCCATAAGACGCACTTTTTTCCCCCCAAAAAAAGGGGAGAAAATGTCAGTGCGTCTTATGGAGCAAATATGGAGCGGCCGGCCGTCCGGTATTTCCACTGCCGCCGTGTCAGAATACCAGGCCGGGCCGCTCAGCTCTGCAGCGGGACCTTATGGAGATGACTGCTGACCTT